TACTTCTATATATGGAAGACAATCACATAATTACATGAGATAAATATGGTATGATAACTTGTTGACCAAGTAACTAGGTCTCTATCTTCTAGAGACCTAACTTTATCAAGAGATATATACTTGATGTATATTGTTCAATATGAACTCGAAATATCCATATCCTAACATTCTCTTTCAAACTCAAGATGCTTTGACACAAAGCAGCTGGAGTTTGAGCAATACTAAGTTGCCAAAGAAAAAAGTAGTGATCAATTTCATGATAAATTTCACAGGTTACCATGGTCTTCCAAGAAAGAACATTTATTTGGCTCTCTACTTTCTTCTAGAGACTTTCTCTCTCTAGGGTTTTCTTCACTGAAGATCTTCTCTCTCAAAGGCTTCTTTTCTTTGTAGATACTTTCTGTCTCTAAAAGAAAATCATATTTCTTTCTCTCTTCTTCGGAACATCCGGGATCGAGTAACAAAAAACTTGATAATCATCAGACATGATGGAGCAATAGAAAACTCCATCATCCATTGGGATCAAGTAACGGAAAACTTGATCATCAACCAGGATCGAAAAATTTGATCATCTTTATCTCCTCATCTGGAAATGAAACTCTTGATCATCAACCAGGATCGAGAAGTTTGATCATCTTCATCTCCTCATCTGGAGACGGAACTCTTTATCATCAACCACAACTTCGAAACTCTTGATCATCAAACTGGAATTGGAGTCTTGAAACCAAAAAGTTGCCAAAGAAACTTGCATTGCTTTCGCTGGAGTGCTTGAATAGTATGTAAGAGCGAAAAGATGTAATCCAGGACACGTGATCACCAAACTTACTCTAAAGACCACTAAAAGAGCTACAAAGGCACAACAAAGACGGCTATGCGACAAATAAAGTGCCAATAAACACTGAAGATTTATGAAAAATTCTCCTTAAAAAATCCGTTAATCATGAATGTATGTGCTCCCCTTGACGATGTCATTACAACAATGGTATGACGAAGTCCTCTGCTGCATGGCAAGGCGCTAGGAGTAAATAGAGTGCAAGACAACTGAAAAATACGCGAATACCAGAACTGATGTTCTTGTCCACATAATGTGTACATTATAGATGTTGATTCATTTCTACTCATCTCATCTCCATATCACCTATTCTCCATATCTCGTATACTGTCCCCCTTAAGTTGCGTGTGGATGCGAAGAAACACCCAATTTGCAAAATACAATTTTTTTTTGTTTTGAGTAAAGTCATATAAAAAAAAATCCAATGAAATTGGGTTTCTAGACAAAAGCTCACATCTTGAAAAATACCACCCATTTTTTTTTTTTTTTTACATTTTCAATTTTTTTTTTTTTTTTTTTTCTTTTGAGTATAATCATATCAATAGCCCACATCTTAAAAAAAATAATACTCTTTTTTTTTTTTCTACTTTTTCAATTTTATTTATTTATTTATTTTTTTCTTTTCAGTACAATCATATCAATAGCCCACATCTTAAAAAAAAATACCACTCTTTTTTTTTTTTTCTTCTCTACTTCTTCAACTTGCAATTCTTGGAGAAGAAACTCTTTCTTCTTCAGAAACACTTGGAGAAGGGTAAAAGGATTAGGGAGTTGACATCTGTGGTGCAAAAAAAAAGTTTAATTTTCGTCAGACCAATGTGGAATTGTACGCTGAGAAGGTGAACAATAGAGGCCTTTGTGCTATTGTATAAGCCAAGTCTCTGTGCTATAAGCTCCTCGGACGTCTAGCAGTTAAGCGAGCACTTGCTATATTCAATTACGAGGAGAAGGCGAAGAGAGAGAAAGACAACATCAGAGAGGGTGTGGCTAAGACTGAGGATTTCACCCATCTAGAGCACTTGAACAACAAGCTCCAGACGAAATTTCAAATCGTGAACCTTGCTCTGATACCAAGTTATAATTTGTGGGCTCATAGAATGGAAAGAGAAAAACAGAGAACACAACATTTATGTGGTTCAGGCTGAAGCCTTACGTCCACGGATCCAAAGTTCAACCGGCTACATCTTCATTATTTGGATGAACCTTTACATCAAATAGTACCTCTATATATAGAGGACAATCACACAATTACATGAGATAAATATGGTATGATAACTTGATGACCAAGTAACTAGGTCTCTATCTTCTATAGACCTAACATTATCAAGAGATATATACATATACATACATAATGATGTACATCAATATGAACCCGAGATATCCATATCCTAACATCTTATACCTCGAAATAACACATTGTGAACTTTTTGATAACATATCATTTGAAAAATGCAAGACAATCACCCACCCTAACCCGTCGCGCCCCCCCCTCCCCCCCCCCATTTTTTTTTTTTTCTAGCTTTGGGCCCTTGTCCAACACTTCCAAAGGACAATGTCGAAACCTTAAAACCATGGTGTGTTCGATGTTAGTGATGTTTGACATCTCCAAATCTTTGCCTTAAGGTTGCCCAATGTTGCGAACACTAGACACCTTGTTCCTCAGCAAGAGGCTTGCCCAATGTTGAATATTGGATGGTGTCTATCTAAATTTCAAAAAATATGGAGCATACAAAGATAAATTGGGAAAAAACGATGCATACATAAATTTTCCTTTTTGTTATAAGAGGCTTTGGGTCGGGTTTTATACTTCTGTACTTTACATTAAATGACTAAACAACGACTCCAATATGGATTAATTGTCAAATTACTGGCGATTGCCAAAATATAACGGCGTAATTGACCGAAATAATCGAACAATAAAAAGCGCATGGTAATAGGGCAGAGAATTTAGTGGGTCCGGATCCACCCAAATCCGGATTGGATCCGAAAAGTAACATGGGATCTGGATATGATTGGATCAAAATGGTTGGATCCGATCAGATCCAAAAAGTATACATGGGATCTAGGATCGGATCCAAATATTATACATGGGATCCGGATTAGAAACAGAGAGAGTATATGCGTTCGTTGTTACTTCATACCACCCAAGTTTTTCTTCTTTTATAAGTGAAAACGGTCAATGTTTCGGACAATAGACGCCCCCATTCAAACTCATCATAAGGAATGATAGGGTAGTCTAATGTTTTCAATATCGGACCGTCCTAAAAAAGGCTTGATCTAATATCTGGAGCATCGGCACTAACCCAAAAATCAAAAATAATAATAAAAATAGTAATATAGTTCAATTGCAAAACTAGGAAAAATAAAAATACACAAAAAAGAATGATCTTAATGTAAAATTTAGAAAATTATAGACCAAAGTGTTTCCATAAAATTTGGGTAAATTCTATAAATTTAACCAGTTGCATATGTAAACTTCCCTATTTTTTATCTTATTATTTTTACAGAATTAAATTCGGGTAAAATCGGTGCAAGTAATACTTGCACAGTGACCGATTGTCATCTTTGAAAGCAGTGGTTTAAAAACGGATCGGTACCCCTGATTGGGCATTTCAGAAATCCATCCGGATCGGTGAATCGGTGTTTCGAATTGGGAATCGGCCAAATCGGTCAGATTCAGTCTTAAAAAAATTCAAAAAAATTATTAAAAACCATTATAAATGTTATTTTTTAGGAATCCAATAAGAAATGAGGGTACTAACTACATTAATAACTTTTATTTTTTCGTATCAATATGTTAATACTGAGATGTTCTTTCTATGCACGAAGATTCTCATCAAACATTTATTAAAATCTAATTATATACAATATTAGACATTGAAATTATAATTATTGGTTTGTATTTTCTTATTTATTATTTTATAATCATTTTACTATACAAATAAGAATAAATTTGAAATTTGTCTTATAATATCATCTTATTTAAAAATCTAATTTACAACTATAATAAAAAATAATACATTGCATAACCTACAGTGTAAATAAATTAATAAATAAAATATAATATTTGGTTTAATAAATTAATAAACAAAAATAATACATTACAACCTAACTAACTATAATATTATATACTGAAATTGAAATTGTTTGTTTATATTTAATAAAATATTTATAAATAAAAAAATCTAAAATTTCTTATAATATCATCTAATTTAAATATTTTTATTGACAACTATAAGAAAAATAATATATTATATAATTTATAATACAAATAAATTAATAAATAAAATATAAGATTTGGTTATCAATATATAGTTATTAATTATAATATCATAATAAACATGCTAAAAAAATTATTAGAAAACACTTCCATATCATATGATTAAAAACAAAAATAAAACCTCCCATAAATTTTATTATTATGATATTAAAAAAATCAAAATACATTTTTTGCCTAAAAAATGTACCATTTAATATTAAATTACTCATGAATAAAAAGTGAGGCGGGTGTAAGAAAAGTTGGAAGGTTCGACTCTCTTCATTCACATCCAACGATTCATCATCTTCATCTTCTTATTTTACCCACACCAACCAATACTATATTGTCATCTTCTTATTTTACCCAGAGCAAGCAATATTACAGTAGAAGAAAAAATATAAGGATTTGTCCCACAACGACATCGAAGGAAAGGCACAACTTGTATAAATTCCACCCTTTTCAGTCGAGTGTAAGAGGTTGTGCTTGAAGCAAGCTTTGATAGTTTCAATATGACCTTGGCAGCGCAGTTCCTCTCAATTTTAGTAATACACCACTTTTGTACCGTTAAAATGCCTAATCCCGATTTTTGGCCAGATTCGAGATAGGCCGGGTGATTTCGGATCTAGATCGCCCGACTCCGCGTTGGGTTCCGATTTTTGACAAGATCCGGGGGATTTTTAAAACATTGTTGGAAAGTTGATACCTTCTTTCCCAAAATTACCTTCCCCAAACATTGTTGGAAAAATTACCTTCCCCAAACATTGTTGGAAAGTTGATACCTTTTTTCCCCAAATTACCTTCCCCCAAAAGAAGAAATGACAAAAAAAAATAATAACAACAACGAACGACAACTAATTACCAAAAATATTAAGTAATTTATTGTAGCCATCACGATGGCACGGACTTTGAAAACCCTTTATCAATTCCTCCTCCCTGGTTTTTTTAATGTTTTGTGGATTTCAATTCATCTTCCTCGAAAGAAGAAACCCACAACCAAATCTTCGAGCCTACATATATTTGAAGCCCAAGGGGGACGCTACATCCATATTCGTTTGAGTTAGAGCGAGAGATAATGAGTAACACATTTTGTAGAGAGAGGATCGCCATGGATCTATGCAGGACTAGCCTTTGGTTCAGTCCTCTTTCATTATTTTTTTCATCATAACACAATCCGTTCCTTCGGCTTCTCAGGAAATTGGTAATCTCTGCCACCCTCGTTGTATACTGCAATTTTTGTGTTTCCCCTCTCTCTCCTCTATCCCCATAATATTTTCTGATCTCTTCTTCGCAACTTTATTTCTGGTTTTCGCTTTTTTGACCTCTCTCTCTCATATGATGTTTTGGTTTAATGGGCGGTAGAGGATGAGAGAGAGTTTGATTATTTGGAAGGCAGTGAGAAGGGGCCGAAGCACTGGGGCGAGCTCCATCCCGAATGGGCGGCTTGTAGCAATGGGGATATGCAGTCTCCAATTGACCTGCTTCAAGAAAGGGTGGAGGTTCTGCCAAATCTGGGGCGCTTAAAGAGGGAATATAAGCCCGCTAAAGCAATCCTAGAGAACAGAGGCCATGATATAATGGTATCTGTCTCTGTCTCACCCAACTGAACATTCTTCTGTCTTTACTCGTTCATAAATTGTTGTGGCAGCTTAAGTGGGAGGAAAGTGGAGCTGGAACACTTGAAATAAACC